TGTGTGTGTGTGTGTGTGTGAGATTACGGGAGTGACAAATCGTGGGGTCCTTGCCATGGGAAGGACCCCACACACACACACACACATACACAAATCTGTGCCTTGGGAACACACACACATACACAAACAACTCTCTTTCTCTTTTTCTACCTGCGTGTGGGTTTAGTATAAAAAAAGATATGACTTATCATGATATATTCCTGTTGCAAACTGCCATTAGCTGAAACCTGAAACTCTCATTTTTCCACTGTTTAATGCCTTATATCTCGGAAACTGTCCATTTTTGGCTTGGTGCCTATGGACACTTTTTATCAGCATATTATGAACTATATTACTCTACGTTATTGTTAAATTTGACTGGGAGTTAAAACCCTTATAGACCGTTGCGGGGTCCTTTGTTTTAAGTTTCAATTTTGTTGATAATAGAATAAATCTGTATAATTAAATTTGAATGGCATATATTATATCACACAGTAATTAGATTTACATATATTTATTAGATTTACATATATGTTTACAACATCTCATATTATATCAATCACGAAAAAAAATAATTGCATTATTAAATATAAAAATAAATTAATAATTGATACAATTACATTGAATATAAATATTATAAAATAAGATAATAAGCGTATAAAAAAATTTCTTTCTTATACGTTATATTACACAATGTGCCGTCGTAAAAGTTTAAATATATATATCACAAAAAAAAATACATTTGTAATATGATTATTAAAAATCAATAAATTTCAAATTAAGTAAAAAATATACATATCACACTGCAATGTTTGTTTCACATTGTTATTCCACAATTGTGTAACATGTTACTTATGTTTCAGGCGCCAAGTTTGCATTCACGACGAAAGATATTAACTCCCACATTTCATTTTAATATATTACAGCAGTTTATTCAGATTTTGAACGAAGAAAGTGAAAACATGTCCAAATCTTTGAAAAATGCAGAAAGCACAGTTGTGAAAAATTTAGTACCATTTTTTAGTGAACATACGCTGAATGCAATATGTGGTATGATGTGTTCATAACTGAATATTTTAACTGTAAATGTTATTGCTATTCATAAATAAAATTAGACTAAATCAAATTTTTAAAATTGTAAGTATGAATGTCACAACATAGATACTGATTCGTAATTTTGACAGCCACACATATTTTGAAATATATATGATAATATTATCTTGATACTTTTACAAATGCGTTTGCAGAAACATGGGCACTTCTTTACGAGGCCTCGGTGATTTCCAGCAGCAGTATCGAGAAGCGGTTCATCGGATGGGAGAACTTTTTATTTACAGGTATAATAATTCATGTTTTATTAGTTATAAATAACTGTATATTTATATTCTGTCTTAATTTCTGTCTTAATTAAAATATAAATTCGTATTGTATAATTATATGAACAGGTAAGTATAATAATACAATACTTAATGTAAAGGTAAATTACCACTTTTATTAATTAGAAATGTATAAATTACGTGTATGTTAAATTATCTATTTAAAAAGAAATAGAAACAAATTTAAAAATAAATAGTTAAAAAAGGGTGTAATATTTATACTATATATGTATAAGATTTTGCATATGTCTCTAGCATAATTTTATTAGTGTTTTAATGTATTCTCTTTTTACATAATTAATGAAATAAAACTAATTGTAAAAATATATAAAAATCTTAAAGAAGTATATGTTTTCCAAATTTACATTATTATCTTCTTAAA